ATAATATTTGCAATATTCTTTAATATATAGTCAACATGGCATCATATTTAAATGTACAAAATAGCTTAAGTTGTATTTTGTTACAGAACATTCCAAGATTCAAACTACTAAAAGAAATCCATAAACACTGATAATATTTTGGGAAAACAGCAATAGTCTTATCAATAATCATAGTAAACTTATACATAATACACAATTTACATGTCAAATCCACAGATTTAAAGATATATGACTAATCTACTTAAATCATGCTAGAATCTACATACTACTTTACCATTCATAGGTTGAAACAAATATTCTTTTGTACCCTATGAAAGAGGAACATAAACTATGAAATCATATTTAACATCCTTCTTAATTCCTAAGAGACTACTTGAGGAATTCTCAAAGATAGCAAATCAGGCATTTTCCCCTAAAATTAAAGTCCTTATGAATAAGTTCCTAAGTAATATTCAAAGAAAATAAAAACAAGATGTCATAAGTTAATTAATTAGGGGGAGACCATATGTGTTCTCTGTCTTGTTCCAGAAAGGATTTAAGATGACTTAAAAGATCGGATGCCTGGCCAGAGTGGCTCAGTGGCTGAGTGTGGACCCGTGCACCAAGAGCTCACTGGGCTGATTGCCTGTCAGGACACATGCCTGAGTTGCAGGCTTGATCCCCATTAGGAGGCGTGCAGGAGACAGCTAGTTGATGTTTCTCTCTAATCAATGTTTCTATCTCTCTCCTTTTCCCTCCCTCTCTAAAATCAATACAAACATATTTTAAAAAACCTTGGAAAACAGCAGAAAGCAACGTGCACCAAGAGCTCACTGGGCTGATTGCCTGTCAGGACACATGCCTGAGTTGCAGGCTTGATCCCCATTAGGAGGCGTGCAGGAGACAGCTAGTTGATGTTTCTCTCTAATCAATGTTTCTATCTCTCTCCTTTTCCCTCCCTCTCTAAAATCAATAAAAACATATTTAAAAAAACCTTGGAAAACAGCAGAAAGTACAAATTACAGGTTAAATGAAAACAAAAATAAAAAAACACCCAGAATAAACAGTTTGGGGAAACAGCACACATAAAACCACTTAAGGAAAGGTCAGGAATTAAATATATTACATTATTCTCCATAGTGATTTTTTGGAAATCACTATTTTTTGGAAATATTGCAAAATCTGGTATTAATTTACAAGAAAGTTATTAAACTACTGAAGAACTGGAGATGCAGATCAAATGTGTTACATGCGCATGAACACTGATGGAGCAGATGCTGATAAAAATGTGCTTTTTCCTTTGTGCATAAGTGAAGTTTTCCTAACTGCCATGATGTGTGTGAATCCAGATTTAATCTCTAGCTATTTAAAAAAAGTGTAAAAAAAACCCACACCCACAAAATGTGGGTATCCTGACTTCATTTTTACTGAGAAAAACATCAAGTGGATATCTGCTGATGACTTGAGCACAGGGAGCTACCTTTCAGGTATTCAAATGTCATATGGCTCTTATTTAGGTACAGGACAAAGCATCAATCCTAGGACACCCAGACTAGATCAGTTCCTCAGTTCCCCTAGCTCACCTTGTTAGGACCCAGCATGAAACAGGAAGCAGGTAAACTGAAGAACAGAAGACCTGCTCAGATTGGCATGTTGAGGCCCTAGTTTCCTCTGCTACCCAGAGAGCTGCAGAGGTTCTCTGACCCTGCTTGCAGGCTGCACGTCACAGACCCCACCACTCCTGTGGGGGAGGCAAGTTAGAGAGAGAAGGCTGGGGCAGCATTAATCAACTTCTGGGAAATATGAATGTGTCTGTTCATCTCTATTTTTCAGGTCCTGCTTTCAACAAATGATAGAATGAATGACCTCGTACCTAAATGCTGACAGGTCAGAAGTAGAGTGAGGATGAAGAAAGGGCTTGAGGGAAATGAAGGGAGAAGTTGGTAGGATGTGTGGATGAGTTTCAAAACTACAGATTATAAATTCATTTTATGCAAATGCAATTATAATGTACTAGAGACCAGGTGCACGAATTCGTGCACCCGTGGGGTTCCTTAGCCTGGCCTGTGGGATCAGGCCGAAACTGACTCTCCGATATCCCACAAGGGGTCCTGGATTATGAGAGGGTGCAGGCCAGGCCAAGGGCCCCCACCAGTGCATGATTGGGGCCGGGGAGGGACGCAGGAGGTTAGCCAGCCAGGGAGGGACCGTGGGAGGGCTCCAGGGCATGTCCGGCCAGTCTCGCTCAGTCCCGATAGGCCGGACCCCAGCAGCAAGCTAACCTACCGGTTGGAGCATCTGCCCCCTGGTAGTCAGTGCACATCATAGTGAGTGGTTGAGCAGCCTTAGCATATCATTAGCATATTACGCTTTGACTGGCTGAACGGACCACTGGAGACCAGACACTTAGCATATTAGGCTTTTATTATATAGGATTAATTTTTAATGGAAGAGGTCCAAGAAGACAAAAGTGTCTTAGGCCCTGTGATAGTCATAAGGTAGCTCTGAATATAGGGCCAATGGACCAATACTAGAGTAATGGAGAGGGAAAGAGAGTCTGATCTTATTCCACTGATTTTTTTTTTAAACATTACTTTGGGATTAGATTTTTCAAGAGAGGTAAATCTAACACTGGTGAAGTACTAGTGTCAATTTCTATAGCCAAGCTAGAAGAAAAAAATTAAGTTCATTTGAAGAGACTTGGATGTTTTCAAGTCCTATCTCTAATACTGTACACATTATGAGAGACAGATTTCCCTTTAAGACCCTGCCTCTTGAGCTTCCTGTACTACACTGCCATTCAGTTCTAAATTTCTTCTGTTTCTCCAAGGACCTGCCTGCTTCAACTACCCTCACAGCCCAAGGTTGGCAGTGACAGAAATGTGGGTACCTCCAGCTACAAAAACGTTTTAAGAATATGCAAGAAAAGGAATGAGGGAGGAGGAGAGGAAATATCACTGCTTTTAAAGTTCTAAAAGTACACTATCAAAAAAAAAAATGGGGAAGGATGTGGTTTTCTAGATAGAATATTTTCTTTTGTTTTTTAAAAATATTTAATTTAAAAAATTGTGCTTTCAAAGCTCTAAATGCTGAGGATTACCACCTTTGCATTCCTCACAGTATGGCTTAGTAAATATAGTTAACCACTGGCATGCAGAGGACCCAGATTGGAGAACAGAGCTTCTAACAATTTCCACAATTTTCTATCACCCAAATTTATCAATATAAATTTGGGGACTGTCGATAACAAAGGCTAACTAATACCATTTTTCTAAGATCTGTTCCCCATGTACAATGAGGAAAATATGTCAAAAGGAAGAGTACAAAGAAATGAATTACTACCCTTTACAGAATCACAGATTTTTCTGCACTTGGAAAGAAATACTAAAATCATAAAATTCAGACCCTTGAATTCTAGATGAAGAACCTGAGGTCCAGACAGGTTATGTGATTTTATCACGGTCACACAGCAAAGCTGATAAAAGAATTAGGGTAAGAACCCTTAAGTTTCCTGATTTTTGGTCTAGAGCAGCCGTGGGCAAACTACGGCCCGCGGGCCGGATCCAGCCCGTTTGAAATGAATAAAACTAAAAAAAAAAAGACCGTACCGTTTTATGTAATGATGTTTACTTTGAATTTATATTAGTTCACACAAACACTCCATCCATGCTTTTGTTCCGGCCCTCCGGTCCAGTTTAAGAACCCATTGTGGCCCTCGAGTCAAAAAGTTTGCCCACCCCTGGTCTAGAGCTTACACCCCCAGTCCCCAAAGTAATTGCTTTTTATGTTATGTTTCATTGTTTATTCTAAATGCATATAGAGAAATAGAAAATACTACCGTTTTCTTTAAAAACATTTGCTAATTTTGGAACTATACCATCTCAAAATATCAAGTCCCAGGTGAGTAGTCCAACAATTAGAATGAAGTGTATGATTTCAGACCTGGAGGGATGTCAGGAAGATAACTCAGACCTCAGATGTACAGGAATTTAGGCCTAAAGAAGTTAGTAAGCTTATCCTCTAAAATTACAAAGTTGAATCAAGACCCAGCTCATCTAAAACTGGCTCACTGCTCCTTCCAGTACTGCCTTATTCTTCCTTGGCTACTGATTATAACCAAAAAGGTAAAAATACAGGATCATACCAGATTAGACATAATAAATCTGTTATTAATAAGAATGAAGAATGAATATAAATTTGATAATTAATAGAAATAAACTACAATTCGGATAAATCAGGCAGCATGATTGTTAGGTTTTTTTAAAAAAATGTACTTAAATGTAAATCACAATTTTGAGTTTTATTTGTTTGAAAATAATGCAAGATCTTTCAGTGTCTTAAGCTCATGCATCTAAAAAGAAATCCTAATTATCTGCAATTCTCTAGAGCAGGGGTTGGAAGGTAATGACCAGCAGTGTTTTTTTGTGAGGCTTATGAGCTAAGAATGGCTTTACATTTTTAAAGGGTTGTAAAAAAATATAAAGAATGTCTGATAGAGACAGTATGTGTCCAGCAAAGCCTAAGTTATTAACTAACTGCTCCTTTACATAAAAAGTTTGCTGACTTCTGGTCTACATTCAAAAAGTATATGAAATTGGGTTGCATATGTAATATGTCCTGGAAGGCTTTTTTGTTTTTAAAAGTAAATCTCTGATTTATTTAAGCTTTATTGTAATTTGCCTCTTTCTACTGACAGCAGGTAGTAGAAAAAGAATCTAGTTTGAGGGTTATGATTATCTGTGTTGCAGTTAAATGAGGTTTTATCACATGCACACTAATGTGTGGACCTATAATTGAAGCTAATTATTTTATATATCTGAAATCCATATAAAATGTTTCAGAGAACTGAGGAAATGGCTTATTCTTTAGTATTGTGGTTATAAAAAAAATGGAAGCAAATATCTATAATTAAAAAACTGATAATTTGATTCTCTCCTTTGGGCCTCTTCCCTATTTTTAAGAT